GTTTTGTTTCTTTCATAATTACCCTGAGTTTATTTTGTTAAAATTTATGTAATAATTTGATCTATGCATACCCGTCTATTCTACTCTTTTAAATGATTTTGTTTATTTTAAGTTGATTATTCTGCAATTTTATTTTGGTTCTTTAGTTTAATGCCATTATATTCAGAATTCAGTTGCATTTTACGTAATTTTGTCGTTTTCTTCAGTTTGTATTATGTTCACTTTTACTTTACTACACATTTTTACCATTTTAGTTTTGCATTATGTTCACTTTATTTTTACTGGCTATTGGATATTTTTTGGACTGTAAAAGCTTTCATTTGTTTGCTATAACAAATCAGTGCATATCTGGAAATGAAAATGCAGTGTAGATCCTATACATATACATACAAGCTAATATACTGTGGATAACAGAATTCACGCACCATATGGCTTTCCTCTAAGATTCTGATTGATAGCGCCCTCCAGTGGCACGTCTGCGGACTTACAACGCTGGAAACCGGGTTTCAATACACGTGGTGGGCAGAGCACAGATAGCCCGTTGTGTAGCTTTGTGCTTAACTTCAAACCAACAAATGTTTGATAGTCTTGGAGCATATTTTGTTATATTATATACATATTTTTGATTTACTTTAAAATATTACGTAAAAAGTTAACATAAACTACATTTTAACTCACCAGTTTAGAACAGCTGCTCAAAATGAGTTGTTACACTAAGTTAATTCACATCGATCACGAAAAGTACTGATCTGGTGTAATAATTACGCATTCCTCATCCATTCTCGCTTTTATTCTTCGATATCATTTGTGGCCTGTGGTTAAAGCGCTCGACTCGCAATTTGCCATTTCATCCGTGGGGAATATTATAAGTTACGATGAATCTCACTTTTTTTTTGGTAAAGAGTAGCCCAAAAGTTGGCGGTGGACGGTTTTGAATAGCTGCCTTCCACCTAGTCTATCACTTCTAAATTAGAAACGGTTAGGGAAGATGGTCCTCAAATAGTTTTACGCGAAATTCAACAAACAAACAAAGGGATATCATTAGGTAGTGTGTTGTACAGAGGGTGTAGTTCTGAAGAATCGCAAGAGACCGCCGACTCCTCACCTCATGAGAAGGGAGATCTTCCTCCCATACTTTAAATCTAAATTATTTTCCATGTTGCTTTCTTATACATTCAAATACGGATCTATGGGAGTGTAATCATGTGTAATATGGAATGCTTTATATAAAATTAAGTTTTTGTTGTTGTTAAGCATAAAGCTACACAAAAGGCTATCTGTGCTCTGCCTACTACGGGTATCGAAAACCGGTTTATAACGGTGTAAGTCCTCAGACATAACACTGTGCCACTGGGGGCATTTAAGTTTTTATCAATAGCTGAAAGCTCTCTGATCCTGCATATATTGTGGCTTTACAATAATATATCTCAAGCAATACTTTCAAAGTTTTAAATTTTAACATAAAGATGATCCATTACATGTGTTAGCACGTGTTTTACTATTCATCATTAAAAGTTGGCTGGCTCGATTACCGCAATTTTTGGTATGCTAAAGTCCGGTGGTTGTACGGGCTATTTTGCTTTAGGATTGTTGCCGAAGAAGGGGGATAAAAAAACCTCTGAAGTAGAGCACATTTCCACTTTTTGACTTTGAAGCGTTAGTATTTAATCAGTTAAATTAGTCAATTATAGCCTTCACAAAGAGGACATCGAATGAGGTCATTCGAGATTTAATAACAAAAGAAACTGTTTATTTGTTTGAATTTCGCACAAAGCTACACGAGGGCTATCTGTAAGACTAGAGGGAAGGCAGCTAATCATCATCACCGCCAACTCTTGGACTACTCTTCTACCAACGAATAGTGGGATTGACCGTCACATTATAACTCCCCCACGGTTAAAAGGGGCGAGCATGTTTAATGGAAGGGGGATTCGAACCCGCGACCCTCAGATTAAGAGTTAAGCGCTCTAACCACCTGACCATGCGGGCCAATAACAAAAAGAAAGAAGGAGAACATTATCTAACATTGTTCTTTATACAGTTTTTGCTTCCTCAACGAGTACCCTCAGCTAATTGATTAGTAAACATAGTAGCCATATCAAATAATAAATTTGATAATTACATGTTTTGTCAAAGCGAGAGAATCGCAGGGACCACCTCACTTCTAAATTTAGTACCACACCACCGACTGTAGACCCTGGTTTTTAGAATTCTCCACAAGATGAAGTCAAGTGGGGTGAGATCAGGAGATCGTGGCGGCCATTCACATAGAACTCGTCGGCCAATTCATCAATTAAGGTAGGGGGTTCCAAACCGGGGGGCCGCAAGAAAGTGTCAGGGGATCGTAGCAGATACAAAAAATACACACACTACTATTATAATACCCAGTATCTATAGATCCATTGGGTGAGGGACCTCAGTTAGGATGTGAACTATTCTGATGTGCCTTGTACTGAGAAAGTTTGGAAACCTCGGGATTTAGGAATACATCATTAGAATAATCTCGAGCCTCCCTACTGTTATGAAGAAAGGGCACCATCTTGTTGGAGATGTATTTCGTGTTCTGGATCCAGGTAAGTGTAATCTAAAGCTGGACCAATTTCATTTTGAAGCATCTGTAAATAGTTCAGTCCATCTAAATCGCCGTCGAAAATAAATAATCAACAATATTGTCAACCACTATTCCAGCCCAAAAATCGACTTTTAGGGGTGGTGTGTTTGACATCACATGCCTGTTCCGATTCCAATAGCAACAGTTATGGCGATTCACTTCTCTGTTTAAATAGAAAAAGAGTTTCCTCGGAGAAGGAAATGCGTACTGCCAGGCTGTCATCGATTTAATAAGCTTGATGAACCTTTCACAAAATTCAATTCGTCTGGCTGGGTCACTATCTCCAAGTTCTGGGTGAACTTGGTACTTGTACAGATGAAGTTTATTCATTTCCAAAATCCTAGCCACATTGTACATGACACGCCCACTTCGCGTTTTCGTGTGAACTGCTGAGAATTTCACAGCACTACAGCAAAGCATCGTCTTGGTGAATTTCAGCTGTAGCGCTTTGTGATTTTCCTGAAGGAAGTTGATCAGACACACAGTTTGAATAAGTTTTGCTATAATTCTGCCATAGGTGCTGTGACTTGACTGTAGTGTTTCAGGATGATTTTTGTGAAAACGGTTGCAGTACTCCATTGGGAGTTGCCTTCTTTAGCACAAATCATTACAATATCAATCCGTTCTTGAAGCGTAAAAGTCGTGGTCACAATTTAATCAACGTACAATGAATAGACACGACCCCCCCCCCCCAAATAAAATATATACATGGTATAAACTTAAACATCAAATCGAAAGTGAGCAACATAGATGTCTTAAAAATAACAAATATAAACTTTGAGATGTCAATAGGTACAGATGTATCAAGATAACTTTCTAGTATATTTGGGAAAACCACGAAACAGTATGAAACGAAAAATGACAACCTGATAACCCTAACCATTTATCTGTAAATTTCATGAAAAAACAAATTACAAATAATGGCTGGAGACGGCTTGAATGGGTAATGAAGAAAAACTTTAATATAAGTTTAACATAACAGCAAATGTGCAACGTTTCGACAAGGTTTTGTCATCATCAGGTACAAGTAATTTACACTGACACGGATATATATATATATACAGTATTGAACAAAGAGGTCACAT